GATGATGCGGTGTGATGTCAGGCTGGGCGTGGAAATGAGGCGGAAGACCACGCCCAGCACTAGGTTCTAGGTAATTTTGAAAGATTATTTAGTAGTTTTGTGTTCTTTTTATTAAATAAGGGGCAGGTTGGGATTTGGTTAACAGGGCATAATAAAACTTTTTATGGACGACTGGGTCATAGTAACCCTTTAACAGTTCTGAAATTCTGACATGTGCCAAGCTATTTTGCAAAATAATGCAGGATTGCAGACCAGTATCTTTTAATACTGGACTAATAGAAATTTGTACTGACAAGCTTTCAGGAGTTCTTCCTATTATCAAGTCTAAAGCACATCTGACCAGATTTATACTCCCGAATGTTTGTCAATGCAAATATCTGTTAGTCCAATAAATACGCTATTAAAAGATACAGCAATACTATTTTGCATTTACATTATGTGTAGTAGCTGCTGCCTCGTCTAACAAGAATAAAAGCGTTGCATAGTGATTTTGATCCCAAAACTTCATTCTCCAGCCATGTCTCCATCTGCTAATAGAACTCTGAGAAGGAGGGGGACACACGGGGTCTGTGTGTGGACTTGACACAGCATGACTAAGCAAAAACGGCTACCGCGCAAACAGACCTTCTAGGAAATGTCATGCATCTGCTGTTCTATATAAACAAGCTTATACTCCAGCAGAGAAACACACTACAAGTAGTATCTGGATATGTGCCAGATCGCTGAGATTAACACTTTCCCAGGGTTCTAAAACGTGTGGTTTTTTTATTTTTATATAAGAGCGGTTGGAATTTGCAACAGTTTTTTTTGTACAATGAAGTGAAATAAAAAAAACATTAAAAATTATTTGACGCATAAAGCAACTTAAGTGAATAATTAAATTCCAAATATAAAATGTAAATGAAGCATCTTGATGGCCTTCTCAACATAGTCTCTACAGCTAGAACATTCCACCAATTTGAGGCGAACAGCTGAGGGAGAATGGAAGGGGCAAGGGAGCTATGTTCTTCTAGCACTGCTTCCTCATATGCCCTGCGTTGATACTGGGAGCCGGGTTATGTCACTCCGGCATCACTAAACCGCACGCAAGGGAGCAGTGCTGGAAAAGCATGAAGACTACACAAGGCCCCCACTGGACCCCAGGGAAGGGATCCACTCTGGTGATGTGGAAACGGAGTGGACTTAAATAAAAAATTGTGATGTGTGCAAGAATGTGTATCCGTGTACTCTATGTGTGTGTCTGTGCCCTCTCTGTGTGTTATATTTTCATTTTGTGACTTTCATATTTCAGATTAATAGTTTATACACTCCTCCTTACAAATACAATATTATCATTATGTCATATTTATTTTTAAAATATTATTTCCTACCTCTAGTCAGGCTTGTTCTTCTCAATGGGATTTTGGAATTTAAATCACTTTAACTTGCTTTCATGAGGCAGGGGTACTTAGGAATATTTTTTTAGACTTGCATGGCTACTTGAGAATCACTGGCCTACACCATGCGACTATTTCATTTTTATATTTTAGCAATCCAAGGTGTATTGCATGGCTCACACTTCGTATTGTGGTATAATCTTATTTTAGCATTGATCCATATGTATCTACTTCACAACCAGCTACAATACAGGCACGGGGATGCTATTGGCACCAAAACCACTTTTTAGGGAGGTTTGGCCAGTGCTGCATAAGCAAAGTAATTTAACTCCTATATAACAGAATGGAGAAATGAGACTGCATGATCTAAACACCAACACTGCTTCATTAAACTAGAGTTGTTTTGGTGACTATAGCGTCCCTTTTAATGATAAGAGGAAATTAATTATAGAAGACTTTTGTTTAAGTATGTAGTGGTGTAATACATTGCTGCATTTTAAAATAAATAAATAAAAACTTGCATAAAAAGCTTTAGAAATACTATCTGCAGCTGTTGCAAGCCATTCCCTCTTTCCCCAGGGCTATGCTGGGGAATACACTTTGTGATTGAGCCATGTGCATGTGTGCAGATATATAGCTTAATTTATGCTTAGCTTTTTTTTTTTTTTATTCATCGACCCTATTACAGAAAGGTGTATTATTTATTTGTATTTAAACTTACTGACACTTAAATGTATCTGCCAGGCTTTTCTATTCCAAAACATTTGGCAACCATGACAGCACTTTAGTAAAGGTAAATTTGGGCTAAAACAAAGAAAAACCGGCTTGTTCTTGCGACAATATATCAATCATAATTAGCCAGCTGCAACATAGAAAACCAAACAATAGTACAACATATAAAGTACAGTCTAGGTCAGGGGTAGGTAACCTATGGCAAGTGTGCCATGCACGGCACTCAAGGCTGATAGAGTCAAACAGGGTCTGACCTATCATGAGTCCCAGTGAAATTTCGGGTATTGGCTAATACGAAAAGGTGGTGAAGGAAAATCCTCAATTTATGCATTGCAGCACATAGAGGAAGTGATCTCAGATCACTTCCTCCCAGCACTTGTGAATAGGAATCCACACTGTAGTAGAGTAGCCTGCAGTGTTGCAGCTCCTGTCCTTGACCTGTACATTGCCATCATGGTCCCCACTGGAACCCAGGGAAGCCACCCACACTGCTAGATATACACAGAAATGCACAATAACCCTCCTCTCATACAAATAATACGAACACCCCACACACAAACATACACACAATCCGCACAAACGCAACACAACTAACAATCCACATACATGCACACAACGCCACATGCAGGCTGTTACATACAATACCACAAACAGCCCCTCACATACACACACCACCAAACACACTATGTGACATTTCCATCCACACACACAATTCCACAAGCAGCCCCCATACACAGCCCACATTCATAGGGACATGATACCACAAACTACTCATGAACATATACAATATAATGGCTCATATACACACAAATACAATGATACAAAGCAACTGCAGTATAATTAACACAAGCAGAATACGGCAACATACACACCTCAGTTTTAAAAAATAGGACCTGCACGCTACGGGACATCACAATCTTATTTCAGCACAGTACTGCTAAAAGATTGCCTTCCCCTGGTCTAGGTAATAGAATAATGCAATAATAAAGTATAGTCTTAAGTATACCTTACACTTTTTTTTTGGGGGGGGGAGAAATTCAGGCTTCTTATATTTACGAGGTGTGTCCGTGAATACATATGGGGGAAAAAAAACAGACCGTAAGGATCCAATAGTGCAGTATGTCTTAACAAATGGAACAAAATACACAGATGTGTAATCGCCATCTCACATGAAATGGAGCTTAAATCCAGCTCCAGTGTATACAGCATTTTTTGTAGTATAAATGCCCACTTATAGATACATTATCATTTTGACATGACTTTCAGCAGCAAAGTGAAGACCATAGAAAGCCAATCGAGACCATATATAGTGCTCTCTTTATATGTCGATAGGTAAATCGTAATTAAAAACTTTAAATTTTTAGAGCAGCCAACCGCGCTATGTATGTAGCGTGTATGGCATAATCCACACCTAGGATTCTTTGTCCAGTTATCCACAATGAAGAAAATTAGTCTCTGGATGTCAGGTTGGACATAAAAGTAAAAAAAAATAAAAAATATGGCCACACCAGAAGGTAAAAGCCAAATAAAACTCTATTGCTGGTAAAATAAATAAAAACAGAATCAAAGTATACAATCCACAATGCGTTCTCCATATAAAAAGGCTTCATCAAGTGGAATACCAATAGTTTCCTTAATTATTTTATTTTTATCCATTATCTATTTGAATAGTTTCCACAGTCATGAGATTGTGATCGCGATCATGTGACTATGATGTAATTTTTACTGTGATTTTCAATTTTCTATTGTTCTGTGAACATATAACGCTGTATGCCAGGTACTATTGTTATTCCACTTGATAAAGCCTTTTTATAAATAGAAAGGCTACTTACAGAGCGGTTTGGGTGCTCTAAAAATTGTAAGTATTGTTTTACTTGCCTATGCACCTACACAGAGAACACTAAATTGCCTCTTTGCTTTCCATGGTCTTCACGGTCTTCCCTTTGCTGCTGAAAGTCACATCAAGAGGGATTTATACCATTACACACTGTATACACTGGAGCTGGATTTAAGCTCCTTTACATGTGAGTTGGCGTGTGTGTGTGTTCTGTTTAAGACATACTGCGCTATTGGATCCTTCCTGTCTTCTGTTTTTATATGTACTGTATTCACAGACACACAACAATCAACTATAAGAAGCTCAATCTTCTCCCCCCCCCCCAAAAAGAAAGAAAATGATACCTAGGACTGTACTTTATGTTTATTATTCCTATTGCACTGTTCCCCGGTCTAGCCTGTACCTTATTATTTAAACTATTTGTTTTGTTTTCTTTGTACCATCTGGCTAATTCGAGTGAATATTATGTAGTCAGACGCAACCTGTTTTTCGTTTTCTTTGCTGTGCATTTCCTCTGGGGGCATTTAAGGGAGTCGCCTAGCTCTGTTTGCTGCCATTGTCATTTCTTTGTTACGTTCTTTAGCGCGTATCCATAATTTTGTGTTTATTCTGTACATTTTTGTTAAAGCTTGCTGTCCTATAGCGACTTTCACCTGTTTTATGGGTTAAGGTGTGCTTGCTGAAACTGGTTTAAAATTTGAATAGAACAACCAATCTCTATCTTGGTTTAGAAAGTTTTATACTTGGGTTTACCTGGTAACCCTGCGAACACCAAAACATTAGAACGTTCCATGCTCCCTTAATGGCGTTGAAGACAAATCTGTGGAGCCGCTCGGGAGTTAAGAATGAGTTAAGCATTGGTCAAAAGATTCCGTATCAAACTCTACTGCATCTTCTAAAACCATGAAATATCTTATTTATCACTATTAAAATGTTTATATATGTAATGCTTGAGTAGATCGTATTAGTTGTGTTAAGTCATAACAGATTCACTTTTTGTTTTTGGTTTTCTCTTTTCGTTTTCTCTTTTGGTGAACCAATATTTGTTTACTTTTTTAAGGATTCAAATATCACCTGGTACACAGAAAATCCAGACTTCACCAAGTGCTTCCAAAATACAGTCCTGGTATGGATCCCATGCATCTACCTCTGGTTCTGCTTACCAATCTACGCAGTATACCTCCAGCACAACGACAAAGGTTACATAAGAATGTCACATCTCAGCAAGGCCAAAACTGTAAGTTGGATTTTTGGATTCTGTAAGCCGTGTGCGGAGGGAAAAGCTTAATGGTGCTTGTCAATGCAACTGTACCTCTTCTTCCTGTAAATCCAGGAGAACTATAAAATGATTAACTCCCCAAGGGACGGAGGCTATTGACCCTAAAACCCTACTCTTGTAGGACTGCATAGCATGCCCTAAGGTCGTTAAGGGGTTAATATAAACAAACCACAAACTGAGAAAACCATGGAAATTTCAAAGGGTTTATAAGAAATTGGCTCACGTTAAAGCCTTAAACTACAGCAAATGAAGGTGATGATATTGATGATCAGTTATTTTAGAAATTTCACTTTATTGATTTTTATTTTTTTTTCTTTGGGGGGAGGGGGAGAGGAGTGTGTGAAGGAGAAAGGCAAAATAGTAATACTAAGTACCTCTGGAAAAAAAAACAAAAAATAAATGGTCAAACTTTAACCATTAAAAACAGAGAAAGCCATCTCTGTGAGCTGAAAGTGTTAACCTTTTTATATCTACGCTTTAAATAAAACATTTATATTGTATGATATTTGGATATCATGGCACTTTTTTTTATTTTTTTTTTATTTTATATAAGCTGTTCAAATTATTCCATACTTTTAGAAAAACTTTCCCAATGATTTCTCTATGGTGATTTCTCACCTTTAAAGTCTAGGAATCTCTGTAGTTGAATAATTTGGAAAATGTTTCTAACTGTATTGAATCATTTGGAAAACGTGTTCAATCAGGCCTAGGCTTCAGACAAAAGACCTACAGATTTTGCAAGCAGTTTTTAGATATTACCCAAATGAAAGAGGAAAACATGTCAGGACTTTCTTTTTCAGACGATGACCCTTTTTAAAAAAAAAAAAATATTTTTTTTTTTTCCCTATTCAACTAAAACTTTGACAATTACATTTGTGACCAATGTTTTGGCCTCTCCACGGTTTCCTACCCCTGCTGTAGTGTATGTTTTTTTTTTATTTTTTTTTTTTAGGTGGTTGGGGATTGGAGGAGGTAATTGGGCTGTGCTGTTTGTCTGGTTGGGGTAGTTTGGAATGGTGTGTGTTGAGGATAAAGTGTTGTTCTGTATGTTAGGCGTAGAGGTATACAAAAATATGTTAAAATAAAACGTCACCCACATCCTGGCAGTACCAGAACACTATATGGTTTGCTGAGGGAGCTGACCATAAAGGCTAATGGTGTGCTAGTGCCCTCACTGTTCCATGCTTGGGCAGAAGATCATAGTAAATACTGCAATCTCAGGTGGTCTTCACTCTCGGAGGTGCCCACAGCATGAGCATAGACTGGTTGGTGAGGGAGAAAGTTTACCTTCCCACTGGCCATGCAGACCCCTCTTCTGTCTGCTGTCCAGAGGTCATGACTTTGGTGGTCTTGTGGGAAATCAGGCCTTGGCAATGTGCTGTAGCTAATCTGTCTATGATAGATGTGGCATTATTAGAGTTCACTACACTCTTATCTGATCTGGCAAGGAGCGTATATGCATTCTAGTAGGAAACAAAATCTACTGTTTCTGTCTGTAAGTAGGTAAATGGTAAACCGTGTTTTGGGCTCGTGTTATAAAAATAAATGCCACACAGGTGATTGTATGAATTTTTTTTCACAGTATACAATTTGAAAGTAATCTCAGCTTGAGGTGTATGACATGGCCTTAAATTTGCTTCATTAGACTTACAAAGAACACCAGATGTGTGCAAAAGCCTACAAAGCCTATCGCTTCACACATACAGGGTAATTCACCAAGTTCTGAATGGGACAAAACCATCCGGCTGCATACGGGGCCATTCGGAATGCAAAACCCAGACATCGTTGATGAAATTCATCAGTGTTTGGCTTTTGGCCCCGAAAGGGCCTGAATTTGGTCCGGATTCTTCGCCCCCCACCCCCCCCAAAAAAAAATTAAAATCCATAATCAGACACAAATAATTATAAATAAAAAAGCTGAAAAAAAATAGAAAATTTGCTGCAACAAAAACAATAATCCCCATTCACCAATGGAGTTCTTGCCGCAGAGACTTCTCTTGAGACTTGGGTGGCAGAGCGCTGTGATTAGTTGGCTTACTAGCCAGCCAATGAGAGCGCTCATTATCATATAGGTAAAATGTTCCTTGGTTTTAGGTTAATTGGTTTGTTTGTTTTCCTTTTTTTTTATTAATTTTTTTTTTTTTTCTTTGTGGTGGCTGGCTGGCTTCTAGCACTGAGAGGGCAAATAATTTTCAAATTATCTTTCACAAAAGTAAATAATAATTAGCAAATTGTGCATCTTGCCAAATGCAAATGTCTTATCTTGGGCCAATATGCAGTCATTGATAAATATCTGATTCCTGTGCTTTAAATTGATTCAGATGCGGATGTTGGCGATTGAAAAAAAATTATAATTATTTATTTTATATTTTTTCCGCCAAAAACTAATTCGCGAATTGCCAATGTGGTCAGATTTCAGTCGTTTTCAACAGATTTTGCGGATTTGGACAAAATCCAGCATTTAGTGAATAACCATGATAGTCTTTCACAAATGCACAGTTCACAGCTCCGCACTCATTGCTGGGATAAGAGAGGGCACAGACTCTCTTAGACACATAATCGGGAAGTAAAACCGAAATATAGTTTGCGCCAAAAAACTTCAAACTAAAAAGATCTCCAAAACACAGTAAAATATAGTTAACGTCTGGTTCTCTGTTGGCAGAGGTGAAGTTACATCCTGACAAAAATAGTCCATTATCTCAACTCGGTCTTTGCAAAGTTCATCTTAAGTCCTAGCACTATAACTACAATACGCTTAAATGGTTATGCCAGTTCAGTTTATTAGTAAGTCCATAATTGGCAATGCTCTAGAACAGCAGGTCATTGCAAAAGGAGCCCATGGAAAAGTGGTTGGAAATCTGAAAACCGAATGGTGTCTGCAGTTGTTTTTATTTATTTTTGTATAGCACTATTGGGAGCCTTTAAGAGCTCCTGTGTCTAGCAAAGATGAATGGATGGTCAAACGCAAGAGTTTAAAAATTACATGCAAAAGGGAACCGAAAAGTTCAAGTTGCACATTTTATGTATTACAGATATTATTACTATTTTTACTACTGTTTCTTGGTTTTTAGTCATGGTATTATGTTCTGTACTTACTACTGATTTATTTTATTGTTTAATTTAAAAAAAAAAATGAAGATTCTTTGGCACCCAAGGCCAAACCCACCACTTAGGACTTCCTGTGAAGCGGTTTTGTTATTCTTTTGGCCTTGACAAATAACTAGTAACTTTTAGCACTGCCAAAAAATGTGTACAGGCTGTTCCTTAGCCATACAAATATTCTGGACTCCTGAAAAATAGTGTGAGTTTCCTCATATAAAACTCCCAGGTTGGGTTTTGGGTGCAATGAATCCTCCATATGATTATTTTTAATTTTTAATTTTTCTTTTCCAATCTACAGGAGGGCTTGCACCATCACGACTGCATAAAGCGGTCATCCAGTTATTGGGAACTTGCATGATCTGTATAAACTATAAACCGCAACAACGTTGTAGCAGATCTTGCCTGACCCTCAAAATAATTTGTGTTCTTTTTATGTAGGCTATAGGTTTCTTCTTATGGCTTATCTGCTGGGCAGATCTCTTCTACTCTTTCTGGGAAAGGAGTCAAAGTACTTATCGAGCTCCAGTTTTTGTTGTGAGCCCCACAGTGCTAGGCATAACTATGGTAAGTGGTTTGCTTTTTTAGTTTTTGTTTGTGTTTGTTTTGCATACATTAGATGCAGCCTATTGAAACCGTGAATTCTTTAGTATCCTTTAAAGATGCTCATGTTGCAAGTGAGGTTTATTATAAATAAATGAAGGCAGTTTTATTACATTCTAATAGTTGTGCTTCCTCAGCATTTACCTTGCTTAGTTAAGGATTTAAATGGTTGGAGTCAAAAGGCAGGCATAGTGTAAGGTATGCTTGCAAGCAAAGCAGAACAGGCTAAATATAATTGACAAACCACATGTTCGAAACACTCCTAATCCTTCAGCACAATCTATACAGGAACATTTTCTTAAAAATAATGTAATTTTCTGAAAGTAGACGCATTGCCTTCACCTTCTGATATTTCCACTGGGATATTTCCTTCAGCTCTGTTTCTAAAGAGGCTGTGAATTCAGGATCTGTAAATCTTAATTTTCTTTTATTTAATTGTGTTTCTGCATACAAATATAGAATAAGTCGGGTTATTTTTGTATGATTCCAGAACATAAAAATAAAATGAAAAGTTATAGATTTGGATTTCACAGCCTTTTTTGCAAGTGCATACTGGATGCAATGTCATAACCTTTGTGGTGGAATGAGATATGTGAGTGCTACGTTCTCATACTCATTAGCTATATTCCGTTAAACATTATTATTTTTTATTTTTTTTACTATAATATATATATATATAATTATTAGTTTGGTTTAAAAAAAATGATTTTTTTTTTGTGTGTAGAGAAAAAGAAGTGGCATTGCAAAGTGCAAACAAAGATCATAATTAGTATGTTAACGTTTGAAAAAGTAACATAGCTAATGAGTATGAGACTTCTCTCGTAATCAAGCCTTACAGTAAATATGACAGAGCACGTAGAACTCTAGAACTCCTTAGGGCTGATACTTCATAACCCGGAGCAGGGGGTGCGTTACGATAATGAGTAAGCAGCCCTGACGGCAGTAGCGTACGCATTCATTAGAGGCATAGGATGGGCATATTATGGATGAGTAAAGAATAGGCAAGTGACCGCAAACTAGACCCCATTAATCATGATGATCTAACTACTAGGTTATCTGGTACGATGTACGATAAAATAGCTAACGGTCCCAGAAGATTCTACAAGCACTAAAGAGTTTTACAGAGGTACCGACCGGTAAAATCAGACTGGGCTGTTGCGATATGTAACATTGTCAAGGCAATAAAAGATGCCCACAAGCACGTATGGTTGGAATTTGACAGACGAAAAAGGCATCCTGTACCACAGCAGTTAAACAATGTAGAAAGATAATAAAATAGGAAACTTTGTACCACTTCAGCCAGTGTCAAATGTAGCACAGATTATGGTGTAATAACAGGTGTAATGATGAAAAGCATAGTTCACATTATACAGGGAGTGCAGAATTATTAGGCAAATGAGTATTTTGACCACATCATCCTCTTTATGCATGTTGTCTTACTCCAAGCTGTATAGGCTCGGAAGCCTACTACCAATTAAGCATATTAGGTGATGTGCATCTCTGTAATGAGAAGGGGTGTGGTCTAATGACATCAACACCCTATATCAGGTGTGCATAATTATTAGGCAACTTCCTTTCCTTTGGCAAAATGGGTCAAAAGAAGACTTGACAGGCTCAGAAAAGTCAAAAATAGTGAGATATCTTGCAGAGGGATGCAGCACTCTTAAAATTGCAAAGCTTCTGAAGCGTGATCATCGAACAGTCAAGCGTTTCATTCAAAATAGTCAACAGGGTCGCAAGAAGCGTGTGGAAAAACCAAGGCACAAAATAACTGCCCATGAACTGAGAAAAGTCAAGTGTGCAGCTGCCACGATGCCACTTGCCACCAGTTTGGCCATATTTCAGAGCTGCAGCATCACTGGAGTGCCCAAAAGCACAAGGTGTGCAATACTCAGAGACATGGCCAAGGTAAGAAAGGCTGAAAGACGACCACCACTGAACAAGACACACAAGCTGAAGCGTCAAGACTGGGCCAAGAAATATCTCAAGACTGATTTTTCTAAGGTTTTTATGGACTGATGAAATGAGAGTGAGTCTTGATGGGCCAGATGGATGGGCCCGTGGCTGGATTGGTAAAGGGCAGAGAGCTCCAGTCCGACTCAGACGCCAGCAAGGTGGAGGTGGAGTACTGGTTTGGGCTGGTATCATCAAAGATGAGCTTGTGGGGCCTTTTCGGGTTGAGGATGGAGTCAAGCTCAACTCCCAGTCCTACTGCCAGTTCCTGGAAGACACCTTCTTCAAGCAGTGGTACAGGAAGAAGTCTGCATCCTTCAAAGAAAAACATGATTTTCATGCAGGACAATGCTCCATCACACGCGTCCAAGTACTCCACAGCGTGGCTGGCAAGAAAGGGTATAAAGAAGAAAATCTAATGACATGGCCTCCTTGTTCACCTGATCTGAACCCCATTGAGAACCTGTGGTCCATCATCAAATGTGAGATTTACAAGGAGGGAAAACAGTACACCTCTCTGAACAGTGTCTGGGAGGCTGTGGTTGCTGCTGCACGCAATGTTGATGGAGAACAGATCAAAACACTGACAGAATCCATGGATGGCAGGCTTTTGAGTGTCCTTGCAAAGAAAGGTGGCTATATTGGTCACTGATTTGTTTTTGTTTTGTTTTTGAATGTCAGAAATGTATATTTGTGAATGTTGAGATGTTATATTGGTTTCACTGGTAATAATAAATAATTGAAATGGGTATATATTTGTTTTTGTTAAGTTGCCTAATAATTATGCACAGTAATAGTCACCTGCACACACAGATATCCCCCTAACATAGCTATAACTAAAACAAACTAAAAACTACTTCCAAAAATATTCAGCTTTGATATTAATGAGTTTTTTGGGTTCATTGAGAACATGGTTGTTGTTCAATAATAAAATTAATCCTCAAAAATACAACTTGCCTAATAATTCTGCACTCCCTGTATACATATACACACAGTGTGTGTTTGTGCTTTAGGGTGCACACCCTAATGCAATAGGCTGCGCACGCCTATGGTTGTAAAGGCGCTTCTAGTGCAATATGATAAATACAATAATGTTTAAGCAGCTACTACACATATGTAAGAACTCTCCAGACTTACAAAATAATAGATTGAAGAAAAGGTAAAAACTGAAGTGTTAACAAACACCGATGTTGATTCCACACATGGAGCGCTTAATATAGTCTCAACACTTACCCCTAAGTGTTAAGTCCAGCAAATCTAGACTACAAAAAAAAAAAAATAGACAAATATAGTGCATCACATAAATATAACTATGTGGGATTTAAATGCAAGATGGGCATTTGTTGGTTTTGACAGACTAACTGCTTAGAGCCAGGACCTATACCAGGACTTTCTCCTGCTCCAATATGGTTGCCGAACAACATAGGAAGTGATGTCAACGACATGGAGTTTCCGGAAAAGACACTGTGAAGACACTAAACAGTGCGTGCGACATCAGGAAAGTGGGCGCAATGACGAATGAGCCTCAGCTATCTCCCACACTCAGACCCGCGATTGGCTAATTCACAGACTGTTCAGCCAATTGGAGAGCTGACAGGGATTTTTAAAGCATGAAGCACAGCCATGAGATCACCAATTGAGAAAGCTGTCACATACAGTGAAATTAAGGACACCACAGAGACTTTATTTTATATACATGTTTGTATATAATTTTATTTGATCTTTTTGTTTTAATCATTTTTAATATTACAATAAATACATTTATCATCTATATACAAGAGTACAATAGATCCTGTTCGGCTGCTGCTGGTTAAAGGGTTACAGAAGGGTTGTAGCTCACTTGCCATCATACCTAGAGCCAGGCTTGGACTCTTTTTAAGGTGAGAAGCCAATTGCACATATACCTCTTAAATTGCCCTACCTGGATTTACTACACTGTGAATCTTTTTTGTTTCTGTCTCTCACCTCCCCCACCTTCCCGGTTTTTCTTTTGTGAAGGAGGGGATGGGAAGAGAATGAGACACAACACAGAGGGGATGGGAAGAGAATGAGACACAAAAAGGGACTGGGGGAAGAGTCACACAGAGTAGCTGAGGGGGAGTTAGAGAACCTCTAAGGTGCTGGGAAAAGAGACAGAGCTGAGGAATGGGAAAAAGAGACACATAAAGGAGTTGAGAGAGAAAGAGAAACCAAGAGGGTCTGGGAGAAGAAAGAGATACACAAAGCTGGCAATTTTAGTTTTTTTTCAGATTGGGGGGGACGCAAGCAGCTAGTCTTGCTTAGGGTGCAAAATTATTATTCTATATATTATTACTATTGCTCACAAAATGCCCCATATGGGCAAATAATATATTAATATTTATTTGGTTATTCAACTATTTATAGAACCTGTTTAATATGAGGGATCCAGGCTCGATTCCAACCATGTCAAACCCAGCCTTTCATTCTTTAGAGTTTGATGAAATGATTGTCAGTGAGTTATATAAAGCATTGCAAACATATTTTATCTTAAACTTTAAAGCATCATATTCCTCCTCTTAAGTGAACACTTACATTATAAATAGATATAATCAGGCATGTGGCATAATATATGGGTGGGGGTGCAAGTAGGATTAATTCTACCAAATTACACTGTGATCCTTCACTTTTAGTTTATATATCTACACCTGTTGTCACTGACTGCAATCACCGTTCCAAGATCTGATTAGGTTTCCTATATGCAAAGTATTCATGAGTAAAGTTTAAAAACAGACTTTTTTTTATTACTATTGAGTACTTTTATGATAAATAATAAATCCGACTGACAGCACAACAACATATGTTGTGTTCCTCTAAAATCAACAGATTAGTTGTTGACAGAGGAAACTGATACTGAGAATTAATTTTCACTTTTTTTACTTTAGAGCTGCAATAGTCTTTAAGTACTGGAAACACGCAAACACACACAGATATTAGGTTTATTAGTGTACCTGTAATGGTACACACAACTTGGTAAACAATTGCCATCTATACATTGAGCTATCAGAACTTTGTGATAAATCTGTTAAAATGTATGGTCCATTTTCCACCTGTCAGTTAATCAGAGAGGGAGCACTGACAGCACTGCCAACAATTATAAGGTTACCCCAACTTCCATGACCACTTCTGCTTTTAGAAGCAATCTGTATGTGCAGCATTTCAGCTTGACATGGTGCTGCTTATAAAGAGTTATTTGCAAATTTGTGTTGGGGTCTAGTTGCACACCCGGCACTAATGTTAATTCTGTGCAAAAATAACGTCTGTTGTCAACACGCACTGCATGCTGGTAACTGGCGTAATTGGCTTTTACGCTATGCTGGTAACATGCCTCTAAGTAGAAGACTTTAGGACAGGATGCATGCAGTTCGCAAACACACAGTCTAATGATGTGCCTCAATGAGAGCTTTCACTTTTGTCCCTCATTCTCATGCCACTATATCCCACTCTATTCCTCCCTCCCTCCCTTCCTAATCCCACCTTCATTCATTATCCTTTGTTTTTCTTCTTCTTTGCTTCCCATCCTCTTGTACAATACCTTGCTCACTGCCCCTGGATACCCACACTCCCTCCCTCATAACGGGACCATGGAGCCTAATTGGATGATGTGCGATGAGGCGTGGAACAGATCGGGAGAGAAGGTAGCCCGGCTCTGGATCAAAGTATATTTTTAGCAACATAAAATCCCTTTTCCCCACACAAGACATAATAGACTTCTTGGTGCCCAGAATAAAACACACTCTGCCACCTATAGACAGGGCTTTTCTTGATGAACCCATAACGGTTGAAGAATTTCAGCAGGTAGTCAAGACCATCCCTATAGGTAAAAGCCCAGGCGGATTCACTGGGAAATACTACAAATTATTAGCCCAAACCCTGGCGCAGCCCTTTGTGAATGCATTTAATGACCATAAACTATCGACTAATATACCCAAGTCAGCTCTAGAAGCAACCATCACTTAATACCCAAACCGGGGAAAGATCCCTCGTCCTGTGGCAATTACAGACCCATCTCGTTGATAAATGCAGATCTAAAAATTCTCACTAAAATCATGGCCACCAGGCTGAAGCCTTATCTGCCTGGCCTCATTCACCAAGATCAGGCGGGCTTTGTTCCGTGTAGAGAAGCAAAACATAACACAACTAAAATAATTAACCTGGTGCATTGGGCACAAACACACAAAATTGAAAGCATCCTATTGGCTATCGATGCAGAGAAAGCATTCGATAGAGTTAGCTGGGCACTCTTACAACAAACAATGAGGCAATTAGGCTTTGGCCCCCGCTGGCAAGAGTGCCTGGACGCAATCTACTCCTCACCGACTGCCAGACTGAGGGTCAATGGTCAGCTTTCGCATCCAGTAACCATCACCAATGGGACGAGACAGGGCTGTCCTCTCTCCCCCATTCTTTTCATACTAATCCTAGAACCGTTCCTCCAGGGCATTAGAGACAATAACAACATACAGGGCTATGTAGTAGACAAGCAAGAGTACAAAGTCTCGGCGTTTGCCGATGACCTTTTGTTCACAATTGCGAACCCGCTCTCGACACTGCCCCATGTAATAGCAGAGATGGAAACATACGGGAAAGTCTCCAACTTCCAGGCAAATCTAACTAAATGCGATCTTTTACCAATACACACCGCAAAAACCACAGACCCAATACTACAGTCTAAATTCAAATTCAATTGGGCACCGCGATCAATTAAATACTTAGGGGTCCACATCCCAAACAGATTAGGGACGATGTATACACTAAACTTCCCTCCGCTCGTGGCAGATATTACCAAAGATCTCCAGACATGGCACAGGCCCTGCTTCGGCTGGCTATGCAGGAGGGAGGTCACCACCTCCCTCACTTTGTCACTAGTCACCCCTTCCTTCCCTCACTCTGCCACTAGTCACCCCTTCCCTCACTCTAGTGACAGAGTGAGGGAGTGACAGAGAGAGGGAAGGGGGTGACTAGTGACAGAGTGAGAGAGGGGGTGACTAGTGACAGAGTGAGGGAGGGGGTGACTGTCACTAGTCACCCCATCCCTCTCTCTGTCACCAGTCACTCCCTCCTAACTCTGTCACTAAACACCCCCTCTGTCCTTAGTGACAGAGTGAGGGAGTGACAGAGAGAGGGAAGGGGGTGACTAGTGACAGAGTGAGAGAGGGGGTGACTAGTGACAGAGTGAGGGATGGGGTGACTAGTGATAGTCACCCCCTCTTTCACTCTGTCACCAGTCATCCCTTCCTTCCCTCACTCTGCCACTAGTCATCCCTTCCCTCACTCTGTCACCAGTCACCCCTTCCTTCCTTCACAGTGACAGAGAGAGGGATGGGGTGACTAGTGACAGAGAGAGGGATGGGGTGACTAGTGACAGAGAGAGGGAGCGGGTGACACAGTGACAGAGTGAGGGAGCGGGTGACACAGTGACAGAGTGAGGGAGCGGGTGACACAGTGACAGAGTTAGGGAGGGAGTGACTAGTGACAGAGAGAGGGATGGGGTGACTAGTGACAGTCACCCCCCCTCACTCTGTCACTAGTCACCCCTTCCCTCCCTCACTTTGCCACTAGTCATCTCTTCCCTCCCTCACTCTGCCACTAGTCATCTCTTCCCTCCCTCACTCTGCCACTAGTCACCCATTCCCTCACTCTGTCACTAGTCACCCCTATCTCCCTCCCTCTGTCACTAGTCACCCACTCCCTCACTCTGTCACCAGTCACACCCACTCACTGTTTCCCCCTCACTCTGCCACCACTCAACCCCTCCCTCACTCTGCCACCTGTCACAACCTCCCACACTCTTCCACCTGTCACCTTCTCCCTCACACACTCTGTCACCTGTCACATATGCATTCATGTAGTCATCCAGACATGCACAAGTGCATTCACACAGACTCAAATACAAACATGCATTGATACACAGGTCTTCACAATACACACATCCAAAGGAATGCCGTATTATGAATTATATTTAACATTTATTTAATGCACATATATTTGGCCTTCAGAGGGCCTGGGATCTAATTTTGCCCGGGGGCCCCAAAGGCTCTCAGTCCGCCCCTGCCTATTACCTATGCACTGGGGAAGGCAAGGCCTTGCAATTCTCTGTCACAGCTCTGTCACTAGTCACCCCCTCCCTCACTCTGTCACTGTGTCACCCCCTTCCTCACTCTGTCACTAGTCACCCCCTTCCTCGCTCTGTCACTAGTCACCCTCTCTCTCACTCTGTCTCTAGTCACCCCGTCCCTCACTCTGTCACTAGAGTGAGGGGGTGACTAGTGACAGAGTGAGGGGGTGACTAGTGACACAGTGAGGGAGGGGGTGACTAGTGACAGAAGGAGGGAGGGAGTAGTGACAGAGGGAGGTGGTGACTAGTGACAGAGTGAGGGAGGGAAGGGTGTGACTAGTGACAGTCACCACCTCCTTCACTCTGTCACTAGTCACCCCCTCCCTCACTCTGTCACTGTGTCACCCCCTTCCTCACTCTGTCACTAGTCACCCTCTCTCTCACTCTGTCACTAGTCACCCTCTCTCTCACTCTGTCTCTAGTCACCCCGTCCCTCACTCTGTCACTAGAGTGAGGGGGTGACTAGTGACACAGTGAGGGAGGGGGTGACTAGTGACAGAAGGAGGGAGGGAGTAGTGACAGAGGGAGGTGGTGACTAGTGACAGAGTGAGGGAGGTGGTGACTAGTGACAGTCACCACCTCCCTCACTTTGTCACTAGTCACCCCTTCCTTCCCTCACTCTGCCACTAGTCACCCCTTCCCTCACTCTAGTGACAGAGTGAGGGAGTGACAGAGAGAGGGAAGGGGGTGACTAGTGACAGAGTGAAGGGAAGTGACAGAAGTGACAGAGAGTGAGGAGGGGTGACTCACTGATCACCCCATCCCTCTCTACAATAAAACTGATCACTCCCTCCTAACTCTGTCACTAAACACCCCCTCTGTCCTTAGTGACAGAGTGAGGGAGTGACAGAGAGAGGGAAGGGGGTGACTAGTGACAGAGTGAGAGAGGGGGTGACTAGTGACAGAGTGAGGGATGGGGTGACTAGTGATAGTCACCCCCTCTTTCACTCTGTCACCAGTCATCCCTTCCTTCCCTCACTCTGCCACTAGTCATCCCTTCCCTCACTCTGTCACCAGTCACCCCTTCCTTCCTTCACAGTGACAGAGAGAGGGATGGGGTGACTAGTGACAGAGAGAGGGATGGGGTGACTAGTGACAGAGAGAGGGAGCGGGTGACACAGTGACAGAGTGAGGGAGCGGGTGACACAGTGACAGAGTGAGGGAGCGGGTGACACAGTGACAGAGTTAGGGAGGGAGTGACTAGTGACAGAGAGAGGGATGGGGTGACTAGTGACAGTCACCCCCCCTCACTCTGTCACTAGTCACCCCTTCCCTCCCTCACTTTGCCACTAGTCATCTCTTCCCTCCCTCACTCTGCCACTAGTCACCCATTCCCTCACTCTGCCACTAGTCACCCATTCCCTCACTCTGTCACTAGTCACCCCTATCTCCCTCCCTCTGTCACTAGTCACCCACTCCCTCACTCTGTCACCAGTCACACCCACTCACTGTCTCCCCCTCACTCTGCCACCACTCAACCCCTCCCTCACTCTGCCACCTGTCACAACCTCCCACACTCTTCCACCTGTCACCTTCTCCCTCACACACTCTGTCACTTGTCATATGCATTCACACTGACCCTATATACAAAAAAGCACATTTAGTCATCCAGACATGCACAAGTGCATTCACACGGACTCAAATACAAACATGCATTGATACACAGGTCTTCACAATACACACATCCAAAGGAATGCCGTATTATGAATTATATTTAACATTTATTTAATGCACATATATTTGGCCTTCAGAGGGCCTGGGATCTAATTTTGCCCGGGGGCCCCAAAGGCTCTCAGTCTGCCTCTGCCTATTACCTATGCACTGGGGAAGGCACGGCCTTGCAATTCTCTGTCACAGCTCTGTCACTTGTGATACGAAAAAATAGAGAATGTTACATCATGATCACTTTAACAAACCAGTTTACTTTATACTTTTCATATTATACACTACATTTTCTGTAGCGTTTATTTGTGGCATAAGAAGGCAATCACTCAGTACTTAATCTTTTAAAACTGCTTGGATGCCAAATGGCAGGAACATCAAGAGACATAACAAGATGTCACATATCAAATTAAAATAAAGTAGATACAAAGCAGGCTGTTTTCTCTGGAGGGAGGGAGAAAGATGGGCAAAGAGATTACTTGCACTATATCAAGTTGCTTTCAGAAATCTGGGCCACGTATAACCCCCAATGCACGACTTCAAGTTTCAAATGATCACTTATTACAAAGATCAGATCCTTCAGATAACCTAATTATAAGTTGGTCAGTTTGCACAGTCACTGGCAACTGAAAACTATCTTCTCTTCATAAGAGTTAGTATCAGAATATCTGGTCATGATATACTATATCACCTTTTGCAAACTCCCAAAATTGAACTTTTCACTTTCCATAACACTTCAAATTATTGCATCAGAGTGGAACAAATAATAGGTCTAAGTACAAAGTGGCACTCCAGATGTTTTGGACTACACCTCCCATGATTCTTTGCCAGCATTATAGGTGTAAGAGCATTATGGGGGATGTAGTCCACAACATCTGCAGTGCGGAAGGTTGCCTATCCCTGCACTAGAGAATAGTTTGAAGTTGAAGTGCATTTAAAGCGCGTGCTAATAAAACCGCAATAAAAACAAACAAACAATGATCCTAATAATAAACACAGATAGAAAGAATGCTTTATTATTAATAATAATGTTAAACATTCAAAGTTTACAGTTTATCTGTTTTGTACAGGTTAGTATTGGTATAACTTTATTAAAAACAGTTAAAATAGGGTATTGAATCTCTTTGCATTATTAAAAAGGAAAAAAATAAACTAAAATAAAATATTCAGGATATTTACTTAGAAAGAGGCTAGCAAAGCTTTCATAATAATTGCACTCCATAAATGTATAATCATTTTTATTGCAAAACAAATTGAAAAAAGTTTGAGTAAATCATCTGCACAATGAAAATGTAATTACTATGCAATTATATACATATATATATATATATATATATATATGTATATATATATATATATATATATATATAACCATTTGATGAGCTATTTTTATAACAATACCCTGACGACTTCAAAGCACAAACCTCAAATACGTGGCAGAATATAGCAACAGTTGCATGAGGATTTAGTGCTGATAGAGCTTTCTAAGGGGAGACTTATCAAGGTGAAAACAGGTGTAATTCTGGGGCAAAGTGCTTAATGAAGCAATTTTGGTGCAGTCTCACTGTTCAATTCTCTGCCATTTAGAAATTAATTTACTTTGTTTTTTACAGCCCTAGCCACACCTCCCTGCATGTGACTTACACAGCCTTCCTAAACACTTCCTGTAAAGAAACATCCAATGTTTACAAATTTTGCTTCATTTAGAATTTCATATCTCCTGCACTGCTAAAAGCGTGCTAGACCCTGCAGTCTACAGTATGTGATTAAAGTTCAAATTACAGAGGAGGAGATAAAAACCTTTAAAGTACATTAACATCTTGTTAAAAATGAAACCATTTTGTTTTCATGCAGGCTGTGTCGGTCACAGCCATGAGAGGTGTGGCTAGGGCTGCATAAACAGAAACAAAAGTTATTTAACTCCTAAATGGCAGTGACTTGAGCAGAGGCATTATCTATACAACAAAACTGCTTCATTACACAAAAGTCATTTTAATATATGGAAGTACAAGATGCTTGATGTGTTCATGCTGTCCATCGTTATGTATCAAAAACAGTGCTTGTGTCCCATGTCACACTCATAATATGAGCCCGAGCAAAAGCTAAATCACATATTGAGCTCCCACCTATCCTCACTAACCAGGCAAAATGTTTGGATAGTCATCTGGTGCATTCTGGTGCATTCTGCCATTCTACTTTGGCCTGTCCTCTGGGGAAGGTAAATTAGCACCAGTGGAAACAGCTAAAATTACCTAAAATATGTAGGTTATTATGAAGATTCCTCAATTTCTTCTTAATGGGCAAAATATAAAAATAAATAATCTGCAATAAAAAGACAATTATTTTGCAGATCATTTTTTATATTTTGAAGGTAGAGTGCTGAAGGTTGTAGGAAGGGGTTGTAGCCAAAAGGCCAGTGATCCACCACTCTCAGAAAAAGTGTAGACTTCAGGCTAGAATAACCTTTGGGTCTAGCCCCACAGCGGTGTTTCCAGTGTAATATGTAAACAGTGAGTTGTGTGTCCACATGGTGTTAAAGACAGGTGCATAGCCTGATGCGGGCAAAATGGTTGGAGTTACAAAAAAAACTAAATACACAATACTTCACATGCATTCACACACTGAATATAAACATACACATGACAGGCATGCATCAACAAACTTTATTTTTTTATTTTTTTTATTTTTTTTATACTTGTCATAGAAATATAGAAACATAGAATGTGATGGTTCTGACCATTGTCATTGATACAATTCATTAATTCATTCAGCTATGGACATGTTCCTACATATATATGTCTAGAATGACTAACTGTTTATATCAATATAAATTACCATTTTTAATATGCAAATATAAGGACTCTATATCGCTGGTTAAATACTCCCACAGGTCAGAACTTGGGACCAGAGACTCAGCCTATAAAAAAAATGTTCATTACTTGGTATTCATTACTATTCCCTGAGGAAGTGAGCACAAGACTCATGAAACACGTAGGATGAATTTATATACCGAGGGAGTCACCATACTCACACTCTGGTATCCTAGGCGCGCCTTACTGGAGAGACGCTGTGGTTGAAAGAAGACTACCCTCGGAGCTCGTGGACTTGCTACTATTTCTGCTATAATTTTTTTATTTTTTATGTTTTTCTATTGTTTAGCATTGATAAACAGCATTAATGCATTTAGACATCAATTCACAAGTAAAAACATACATTCACTTTCACTAAGTAGATTTGCACAAATGTATCCATACAGGGAGACACCAGCTACATACATCATCCACACACCGCATAAATTAACATACATGAACACTACATACAGAAATGCATTCTTAGCATTTTCATCCTTTTCATACCAGTTCACCTTTAGAGCACTCAAAATGTACCTATAGGTTAAACAAATATAAGTTTCAATAAGATCAGGCTCGACAATGAATATGACTGAGGCCGATTGGCTTTGTGGTTGTAGAGTTTCATGAAAATGCTGGCAGTCAACATACGTACATACTATAGTCACCAGAGCAACTACAATAAGCTGTAGTTGTTCTGGTGACTATAATGTCCCTGTAATGTTTAGATCACTATGTTTACTTTACTCTGTAGATAAGCATAATGTCCTGTTTTGTGATACATTACAATCATATAGAGTCCAGGAATTTTTTTCAAACAGCCTTAAGGGATAGAGGTTGTTTGTTTGATGATTCAATTTCTGTTGCTATTTTGAGAACCCTACATTACATGGACAATTATAACCTCTTATTGACATCCAAAGACTGCCTGTTGTCATTGTACTGTCTATTCTGACTATAATACTGATTTGAACACATTTGGAATTATGGATTGTGTCTCTTTAGAATGAATGCAAAGTGAATATTTGTTCTTATCTAACTGTACAAGAAAAAACAAACAAAGAAAAAAACATATAGACACAAAATCTGTCCATTACTTTTTTTTACTTATTCTTTAATACACATGACAACCACTAATTTCTCCTGGAAACCTATAGACCTTATAATATTTTGAAACGTTACCTGTTTGTTATGAGCACCAAATAAAGTTTCACATTGAATCGAAGACACTGCTGGACTGACCGTCTTTTATTTACTCATTATCAATTGCCAATAATCTAATGTCCGTACTAGGTGGTTATTGAGTCTCCCAAATGTTTTGCTTTTGGCAGGATAGTCAGGGTTATCTCCAACCATCCTGTTTTAGTTCCCTGGAGTCCCGCATCCTGGGACACAAGGAAAATGACTTCAGGTAGCACAGTCCATCATTAGATGCTTGCACTAATTCAAATGTATGTTAATGTAAATAGAAGAAAAAAATATGACAATAGAATAATAAATACTGTCAGGGTTCTTGGCTGATGACAAAAGAAGAATGAACACTTACTGATGTAGGTTGCTGTTTAGACCTCAAGTATGGCTATGCCAGTAATATATTTTTATTACACCAGTAATATTAGTATTGTTTTATTTATTGCCTAGGAGAAAGCTGCTTATAAAAATCCTCTGTGTGAGCCAAAATGTTCCAATTTGTGTGCTTCCTGCCAGGCACTATATAAAACGACTTGGTGTTATTTTCGGAGAGAGCTGGTTTATTCTTTTTTTATTTACGGTTATTTACTAAATTAAGAAATCCAAGTGAATTCAAAGTGAATTTCAAATTTAAGGCCAGAGTAGCCAAACTGAAAGCTATGCTGATCTCATCTATTTTGAT